AGGAGGAGGATTAGGATGAAGAAGATGGTGATGGGGAAGGAGGAGAGGAGGAGGGGAAACCTCTACCGCCGTTTCTTCGTATTCAAGCTGACAACTGCTTCAAAGAAAACAAGAATAGATTCATCTGCGCATTGGCAACACTTCTTGTGAAGTTCGTGATTTTCAAGGAAATAGAAATTGGTTTTATGATAGTTGGACATACGCACACAGACGTCGATGCCACGTTTAGTGTTTTCTCCAAGAAACTCAAGGACAATGATGCCTACACAATGCATGAGTTGTTCCTTGTGCTAGAGCGGTCTCATAAGACTCCTCCGCGGTGTATTTTTCTTGATAGGATAGCAAACTGGAGAGGTCTTATTTACCCGCATGTTTCAAAGCGCATGACAGGGATTTCGAAGCCTCATTTGCTRAAATTCTACATGATAGGTGATAATCCCGCCATGTCCTATAAAGAGTATTGCACAGACGCTAAGTGGTTGCCCGAGGATGGTCCTCTTTACTAGTTCAAACAAACATACAACGATGGTTACGCTGGTCCGCAGCAACCTTTCGATCCTCTGCCGGTCCAACCGGCGTTCCTCGACAATTACAAGAACGGTTTGGAGGGTGTGAAGAGGTTTTTGGAAGTCTATGAAAAAAAAAGAGAAACTTGGATGACTTTCCGARACGAAGAGGTGACTAGAATAGATAGGGTTTTTCGGTTTTGGGAAGATCACGTCAAACACGCGGGGCACATTATCGACAACGGGGTGCCTTCGACACCCATCACCGAATTCTGGCCAAAGGCCACCCATGTCATTGAAGACAGGAGTTCTTGCTCTGATTCGGATGCATTCGAATTACAGAGAGAACCTCTATTCGTGGGTCTTCAGAGGGACAAGCCTAAGGCCAGCTTTGATCCTTTCGAAGATGTGCATGTCGACGGTTTTGTCATTATGCAACCATCGGACGAGGACATGCATCAAGGAGTGCCTTTTTGGGTTGGCCATGTTCGCAGTGAAGTTGACAAGAACGAAGATTCGCCAACTTATAATCAATTCAAAGTGGAGTACTGGGTTCCAATCGGAAAAGCAAGCACACTAAGAGAATTGTATGCCGACGCCTGGGAAAAAAAATGGAAAAAAGCTCCAGGGCACGAGGAAGAGTATCAACATGTCACAACCGTTGCGTTTTCTTGGATGAGACAAAGGAGGACGAATGTCTGCGAGTCCTCCAAAACGTTTACCACCGGTCTTATTTTTCCTCTGAAAGTAAGAAAAAATGCAATTTCCGCCCTAGAAAACGGCGTTGGCACTCAAACACAAAGCGTTTCCGGAGAAGGGAGCGGGTAGGAGGCTACCTCATCGAGAGTGTGATGGTTGTCGTCTTTTCGTGAGGAGAACATATTGTCATGCTGGCCTGTGCACAACACACTTGACTCCATGGAATACATCGCTTAATGATTTGTGCTCTCCGGGTTACGGGCTTCAAATCAACAAGAGTTCTTCATCAATTTTCGACACTGGGCGTGGGGGCATTTTGGTTGTCGTAGCATGACCTCGGGCTTTCGGTCCTGACCTTGATGTGACGCTTTTATTGTGACTTTTGTCTTTTGCAGTGTGCAGACTTTCCTCTTCTGACGCACTTCGAAAACATGGATGAGATTTTGGGCTACATTGAAATAAAAGTACCTGGACGACTGGCGATCATCACAAAGGGAGAAGCGTTTCCTTTTCAATATGAGAGAATCTTCAGGATCGTAGCGGGAGGACGGACAATGTTTGTCATCATGGTGAGGTTCACTGATCTCAACATTTTGGACATGCGAATATATGAGCGTCGGGGGGAAAATTGGATGCGAGAAGATTTGACAAGAGCTTATGTAAAAGCTTCAGAAGTTTTTTTCGCCTTGAGACGTGTTGTGCTCGGAGCAGAGGGTGACATTCAGGGTTTCTCGTTTTCCATTACGGAGTTCGAAGGTCTGCCTCAACCTCCAATCCAGTTTTGCATGGTGGACGGTTCGACATGGGAACCGATAGTGAACGCTCTGCGAAGAGGCTTCTTCTGAGGACTTCAACTTTTTAAGACGTTTGGTGACTAGTCTTACGTTTTTAGAATTTTGTGTCATTATGTCGGATTTGTGAACATTTTCGTAGTATAGTCATTTATGATTATTTTTAATTTTCACCAGTTTGAGAGACGAGTCTCGACACTTCCCAAGTTTTGCGGTCGAATGTCAGATTAGTTGAAATTTGCACACTGTAAAGTATTAACGAAAGCCACGAGTGCCGACCCTGGCTCATGGTCGGTTGTGGTTCGAATGCATCCGACCCAGAGAATAAGGATACTATTACGACAACCAAACACAAGAGCGTCAAGGGGGAAACAAGATGCTGGGGGATTTTACAGCACCTTATCTGCAAGCTGTAGATGTTCTTGTGTCTTGAGACGTGTTGTTGTCATGGCTGGGGGAGACGTTCAAGGTTTCTCGATTTCCATTACAGGTTTCGAAGGTGTGCCTCAACCTCCTATCTCGGCTTGCATTGTGCACGGTTCAACACGGGAACCGCTAGTGAACGCTTTTCGAAGAGACTTCTTTTGAAGATTTCAAGTTCGGGACACTTTGGTGACGAGTCTTACGTTTTTAGAGTTCCGTCAGGATGTCGGATTAGTGAATCTTTTCATAGTGTAGGCTTTTTCAGAGAGACATCTTGACATTTTCAAATTTTTGTGTTAAAATGTCCGATTAGTTGAAATTTCCACGGAAACTTTTTGGTTGATTGTGGAAGGTCCGACATAGCCTTGCCAAATCTTTGGTTAATGGAAAATTTTGAGGTAACCGTTACGAATTCACAATATTGGGACCAGATAACTGTTATCAGTTTTTACGGCGTACTTCTCATTTGTCTCGACAATGGTTGTTTGCCTGCTTATGTAGGTTGGGTGTCCCGCTCTGTTTTTAATTTTTCTTCGCTTTTCAATCTTGTTCTCATGAGTTGTCAATTGTCTTCAAAATCCAGTGAGATTTTTCAAAATAATTATAAGGTCCTTGGTCACTTCAACATGTGATAATCTGTACACAGTTTGATTCGGATGTATCCTACGCATTCGTTTGAGCCTTCTCCAATGCCCAATCCTCATATGATAACGTCTCTACATAACATGCTCCCCACCACTTCACTCCGTACGGTGCCCGTTCGTTTTGAGAAATGTTTGGTAAAGTGATAATGTACATGCAACCGCCATCTAGTTGAAATTTAAGACTGATGGTTACTAGAGTTCTTAAGGGGTTCCCGAGGGTGCACTTTTATTTGTTAACATACATCATTTGATCTCGGCAAGGACAGTGGCGGAGTGGTGGGCGGCATTGGGTAGGGATGTTACAAGTTCATGGTTGCGAGGTCTTACCCGGCAAGCGGCAAATGATAACATCTCTGCATAATGCTGCCCACCACTTCACTCCGTCTGATGCCCTTTTGTTTTAAGAAATGTCTGCTAAGCTATAATTGTTCTTGGAATGATAACCTATTGGTTAATTTTCCCTTGGAGGGTGATCCGGGCTATGATCATAAGTTCATTCTGTTGATTGAGTGAACTTCAAGGATATTTAATGAATGACGCACGGTTTATAACATGACGGATTTTCTCAATCCGAATAATGAAATATTTGATTCGGATATATCCCAGTTTTACTATAAAACTAGCCAACTTGTGTATTATGGATTATATCAAAACATGTGACTCGAATGTATCCTACTCATCCTGCTTGTATTCAATTAAACTTCAAAAATGAGTTATTCTTTGGTCACTCATATACGTCCCTCTCATGCACCCTTTAAAGCCTCCACGAAGACCTTTTTTTGGTCACTCATATACGTCCCTCACAAGGGGAAACCTTCGATATGCTACGTTCGTACTGACTGTCTGAATCTGTGCCTGTTTAGTTGAGGATTTATCCGTTGAACAGGGACCCTGATCGTTGTGTATTAATGTATAATCAACATCTTCTTTCGTCATCCGTGTATACCTTTCGAGTTTCTCGAACGACAAAAGTACTATTTAGAAAATAATGTACTATTTTAATGAATAACATGTTGAAGACTGTACGACATGATCCCCACACTGGAGTGAAATTCTACTAATGATCCCACCCGATTCGTCATAACCTTTCCCTCATCACAATCCTCTTTCAACAGACGTTTCCCTCTCAGACGTTCCCTTAACCCTGGTCGTTTCCTCCTTGTTCGTTTCGGTTTGTCCCTAGTGTTTAGTGCAGGAGATAATAGTCGTATAAAAAACTTCTCGGTGTCCAGCAGATCGTCAGGATGGCATCTACACAACGGCACAATAGCAAAATTACCCACTCCACATCTGCGAAGCCATCTATACAGTTTCTCATTCCGATTTTTCTTCTCGTTTCCAACTGTTTGACAAGACCGGTATACATGTTCTTTCCACCTCGTCTGCATGTCACAACTCGTACAACCCACATAGATGTGCTTACTCCATGACGAAACTAATGCATAAATGACCACGCCACAGTCCCTTATCATCACTAACACTCGAGATCGCATCCAACAAAAAGGTACGCAACTTAGTCCCCCATGGAATCTGATCAACAACTATTAATCCACACACAACAAGACTGAATACAGGGCATACAACACCATTCCTCATAAATTCGGTAGATACACTCCGTATAGTGCAACAGAAATGTACTAAATCCCATAACAAGGCCGTGCTCGGGAAAAATACTAAGACGCAGCAAAATCATCACGTTCCTCTGTTGCGGCCTGACCTTCCCCGTCATCCGACACCATCACGGTGACCGCTTTCTTACCTTTCCTCCCTTCATCGTCAAATACCTTTGCTGCTCTGGCTTGCACGATTGCCTCCTTGGTTGGATCGAGCGTGGTATACTCCACGCCTTCTTTCTCACAGATCTTCATCACGAAATCCTTATTCCTGCCGCGCAAATCCTTTCGATTAGCACGCACAAACGTGTCCCAGTCATCTGAATTGGTTGCCACATTTGACTCTTTCTCTCCCGTCTTTCTGGCGGACGTTCCCACGTCACTCCGGATGCCTCCATATGTCTTATCTTTGTTTGCCGCAGCCTCATCCATCCTAGCCTTCAAATTAGTGCCCCGCATCGAAATTCTCTTCTCCATCTCCAATCGAGCTAACGACTCTTTCAGCTTCTCCACTTCTAGCTCCAATTCCTTGCGAGCGTTCATCTCGTTGATGCGCAGCGTCTGCAATGCCTCCACCTCCATCTGGTATCTTTCCACAATACCTTTCAAGTCAACCTCTACGTGTCGCCTCGGAGTTTCAATATGCCCCTTGGGCGATTCGGCCCCCCCGAGACGAGTTCGCACACGAGCTTGCGAAATTGGAGTAGCGCCCACGGCAATGCTGCCGCGCTTGTTACCAGGCCTGAGAGCCTCCGCTTTCCAGCGCTCCGCCGTGGCCTCTGCTTCCTCACACTGTCGTTGCAACGCCATCACCACCTCCTCTAGCGCCGATAAGCGCTTGTCCGAGTCAACCTTCAAATCAGCTTGCTCACGCCGAATCCGCGCCAGTTCTCCAACAGCGGCTTCGTGCGATTTATCCGTAGACGTGCTACCGCCTGCTATCCTTTGTTGCAGTCCTTCAACCGTTGACCTCAATTTCTCCAACTCATCCGGTTCGCCCTTCTTCTTTCCGTCTATAGCCAAATAGACTTTACTCAGACTATCGGCAAGTTCCTGCTTGATCGATTTCTGGAACTCAACCCGTTCCTTCTTCTCCCGCTCCAATCTTTCGTCCTCCTCTTGTTTCCGCTTTGTTCTTTCCTCTTCTTCTTTCCGCGCCTTCTCCCTTGCTTCTTCCGCCTCGTGCTGCTGACGAATCTTCACGACTCGCTCTTCAAGCGTATACACCCGCTTCCCCAACCACCCACTACCGTTACCCTGACCAGAGTAAGTTTGCGCAGGAGCAACAGTACCAACTCCGGAATTGTTGTTAGCGGGGAGAGTAAGAAGAGGAGTAGCGCCGGTACCAGAGCCATTCTGGCCACCGTTGCAATGGCAGGTGGCCAAGCAAAAAATGGATATGGCCCACAGCTGGGCGGACATTGACAAGGCACTCTCAAAGTTTGGGGTGGAATGGTTGGGGGGCCGAAGGGGGGGTTGGATGGCGGAAATCCTCTGGTCGGCAGAACCCCTTGGACAGGGGTGCCAGGCAGGAGGGGACGGACAGGAACGGGCCAATATGGCCCGGGACTACCGGTTCAGGTTCCGGGACTGGACCGTGGTTGACCCTGGTATTCCCCGAAGGCCAGCTGCGGAGTTCGCCAATCCCTTCCTCCCCCACACACTTTCCCTGATGGAATGGCCGTAACAGGCCCTGGGGCCACCAGGACCACTGATAAGAGGTAAAATTGGGCCCGCGGAGCCCGCTCCCCAACAGCATACAGTCTTCCCGGCCAGGTAGTGGGGAGAGGGGCCGATGCCCTCGGGCCCTTGCACCTCGCCTCGCCTCGCCTGAAGGTTAGGAAAGTCCAGTTAAGAGCTCTGCGGAGTCTGCGCAGTCAATCCCCTGGGGTCCAGGGTAATCAATGCTGGCAGAGGCAGAGTATATATGTTATGTATGTTCTCATATGGGACGCTGGGCCCGATTCCCAGCACGTGTTTTTCCCCACGAATAGATCGGAGCCTGTTTTTTCCTTTTTTTTTTTTTGTAAACGGGTGTGCCAGTGTTATGTTTTGGGGAAGACGGTAGGCGCTAGATGTGTCCTACATGACCACTATTATCAAGCCTCTTTTTTCCGCGGCGGGATTTTGCCTGCTCCAGAAATTCCAAACCAGTGCATGGGATGACCTATTAGCTGCCTGTAGGCCGAGCCTATCTGGGGCGACGGGGTTAAAGGACCAGTACGCCCATGCCTTTTTCGTATGAGCATCATTCCCACTGCACGTCAGGCTTTGCTGAACCACCAGCATGGCCTTTCTGTTGTAGTTTTGGCTAGCGGCACCAGCCACTTTGGTTCAGCTGTCCCCAGCCTCTGATCTTTTTGGAGAGGCTCAATCATGATTCTCAAGTTGGCTGGGGCCATGTACTGGTGGTTTAAATCACCAGAACCTCGCCCAGCTAGTGAAGCCGAACCTGAAAATGCCCTGAGCAACCAAAAAAAACGAACAGGCGTGGGCCTCATTTTGGCTGGCACTGCTAGCCATTTTGGTCTGGTACCCCGGCCCCCAAAAAATGCGGCCTTAAACGAGCCGCATATTTGTTCTTGAAGCGGGGAAGGTCCTGGCCAGAGAGTGCAGGTGCTAGAAGTCTTCTGTACAGACGCCATTGATTTTTTAGTATTTTTACTATTATATTATTATTATTTTTTAACATCCATTGGCCGTGCTATCTGGGGTATATGAGCATCCCCAAATATCACTCCCCCCAGATGGCTCCTTTGAGTCGTTTCTATTGGTGGGGAGCTGCACCTGCTGGAAAACGGGTCCAACCGTCCAGCATCCCCTGAAATACAATCATGATGAGTACATAAATGATGCAAAAATAATGCACAGAATGATAGGAATGCCTCTTCAGTCCCAGAGGGACCGCCAAATGACCTTTGTCAACTAAGCTCCCTATCTTGAAGGCCTTATCAGTCGAGCCCTGGATTACTCCTCCCCCATGCCACATACCTTTGTATGCCAACCAGAGACGGCTCAGAAGGAGAAAACAGGTCTGGGAAACGATCAGGAGGTCTGCGGGAGGCTCCCGGCTGAGGTGTGAACCCGTTCCGAAAGATAAGCTGGAATGGGTGGTTAAGCCACCAGTACTTGGCCCAGCTATCGGCCGTGGAAAAAAATAGAGTAGAAACGATTCTAGTCGGATGAATTTGGCTGCTCCTGTGGTAGCCCGTACGTTTCCTAAAATTGTGGCGCGTTAACTGGCACGACTCTAGGAAGTACTGGTGGTTTAACACTAGGGTAGGACAGAGGGGGGGGGTTGCATACTGTAACGGTGCAGACCAGAACAAGAACCGACCTCTCAATACAAAGTACAAGATAGCGTAGCGGAAGACTTAGATACCAATGATCCGAACAATCAATATTGCAATGCAGCCCTGAGCATACATCATCATCGTCGTTCCATGGTGTGAAAGGGGTTTGGCGCTTCACACAGGAAGACTGCGCCAGCCCCAACCATACACAGACGAAGAAGAAGGGGGTTAGACGAAGAGGAGGGGAAGATGGGAATGTCATCAACACCAAGTCTTCGGCACAGGCCCAAATAGTCCCTCGTCAAAATGTCTGAATCCCAAATGTCGAGTCTGGATCCAATGTCGTCAAGTCTCCAGTCACAACTCTCTCTCTCTCTCTCTGTCGTAGTCTGCTGATCCTGAGAAGTCAGGTGGTGAGAGGGTGAGAAGAGATGGTGGACTTAGAAGAGGAAGAAGAAGAACTCTCTCTCTCTCTGTGTCCAGTACTAACCTGTGAAGTTAGCGCCTTGATGCAGGTACCTCGAAGATGGAGCTGGAGCTATGGCGCCACAGGTAAGTACCGCTGGCCTCCGCCAGCCATCTCTCTCCAACGGTACCACTACCAGCTACTAGCGCCCTGCGCTGAAGACTACTACTACAGCTATGAGCACCCAGCGCTGAAGACTACTGCTAGCGCTAACTACTACTGCCAGCGCTCCTCCTGAGTGCTGCGGCTGAATCCTGAAGACTACTCGTGCCTACTGTCCAACTACCTACCCGTGAAGTGCATGGGAACTTCCTATGTACTACTCGGGTACCTCCTGGCTGCAGGCGAGGCAGTCCAGGAGGCTGCTCTTGCCAATGCCGAAGGCAGCCAGGGGCTGCCGCTGTAGCTCCTGCTCAAGGCTGTCGTGGGGAACAGGCCAGAAATAGCCTGTTCCCAAGACCCTGGTTTTGTGCCTGAGTCTTAGGGTAGGTCGATCTTATGAGGGCCCGAAAGTGGCCCTCCGTTTCAGGCTGAAAAGCCTCAGGGCTGAAAAGCCCTGTTATAGGCTGAAAACGAAATAGGGCCTGCAGGCCCTCGTTTTCAGTTTCAGGCTGAAACGACATGGGGCCTGTAAGCCCTATTTTCTAGGCTCTTAGGCTGAGAATGCGGGACGGGCCCTGCAGGCCCGTGTGGCTACGCAGTATGCCAGAGGGGGGGGGTGCACCACAGCAAAAAGATGAGAGGAAGGGTGGGTGGGGTCTTCAGAGGGGTTCATCTGGACAATCGCGTTGCGGAGTACTGAGGGTGACTGCCATCCGTCGTTTTTTTTCTATTTTTTTTTTTTCTTTTTTCAAAAACAACCCGAACATCTACTAGGGGTGCTGATAGGAGCAGACACCACTAGTATCGTCGGGGAGGCTCCATCTATTGGTGGGGAGCAGCACCTGCTGGAAATCGGGTCCAGCGTCCCTGTATAATACAATGTCAGAAACAACGATAGTATAAGCATGTTTTGTTAGTATGCCTTATGAGCTGGGGATTTGATTGATTGTCCCAGCGCTATAGCAGTCCATTTGTTATGGATTATTCAAAAAATTATCACTTATGATGATGTTATCCTAAGCAGTTGAAAGTCGCTTAGAATTTATGTACTATCTATCTTGTCATTGCCATATGTCGTTGTGTCTGTGTCTATTATCTGTTGTCTGTGTATGTTGCGGGTACTCCTGCATGTGTTTCGTTCCTCATATCGCGGTGTGTTATATAAGGTGTGATTATGAGTGTTCCTAACTGTGTTCCTAACTGTGTTCCTAACTGTGATCCTGACTGTGTTTCCTACGGGCTATGCATAACTGTGTATCAGATAAGTTTTTCAGTGGAGTAATTCTATCCAGCTCAATTATGCGGCCAATATGCCCAAGTGTTATGGCAGGAGTCTTTCAACCCTTACCCCTTACACCCATAAGTCCCTAATCCGTCTAGTATCCCACCTCTACAACAACCTGGGAAAAAAAAAAAAAAAAAAAAAAAAAAAAAAAAAAAAAAAAAAAAAAAAAAAAAAAAAAAAAGGAAATCCCGCTGGAGACAGTCCCCTGTCTCTTCTGCCCCTCAGGCCTGGCGAATGCACCTCACCCAGACTCCTCCCTGCCTGTCCCCACAACCAGTCCATATTAAATTTCTCAATGCTTTGAGGAATATCTTTTTTTTGATGAAACGTCGTCGATTTGGCTTTGAGTGATGACCAGTGAGCCCTAATTTCAGTCTGCACAAATTGTATTATATGCTCTGCAACCTCCAGTCCCTCCAAGCAAACTCCCTCCTTTACCTTGACTTCACGCAGCACCTGTACCAGATGGTCCACAGGATCGCCTTACGGCCAATCTCAAAGAGATTACTCTGAAAATTAGGGAGGGTTAAATCCAGGTTTTCACAGATGCCGTTGAGCTATGTCTATGATGTTCCAAATCCTTTTTTTTTTTTTTTTCCAAAGAAACGGGCCCAGTGCCCAAGGCTGATATTACCAATGAAGATGTTGAGGCCGGGGTCCTCACAGTCTACCCGGAGTGACAAAAACGAAAAACAGCGTCTCTCATGTGACCAAGCAGATGATCATGTTATCTGACATGTGTTCTCCGGAGTTAGTTCTTCCATCTTTTTTGGACCATCGAACACGCAATCAAAGACCTAAATATAGTCCGCAGGGCCTGCCCCGTCTTTCGCAAAATTCAAGAGAAGCCGCATCCCATGGAAATTCTGCCCACTACACTGACATCTTTCCTCGACATAATTGGAATTCTCATAAAGAGAACCAAACAAGCAACGGAGGAGTACAAAGCCCCGTGGACGGAACAGGGAACCTGGGTTGTCTTCTTTTCTCAGAGTATGCAATGAATTTCACCTGGTTACGGAGGCGCTATCACCATACAGGCCAATAATTTGGTGCAGCTATGACATGATTACCCCTTAAAGGCTATGAGTAAGGATATAATTTCATAGAAACTCGTACCTGCCATAATGCATCCCATCCTGCCCATCATGGATACGGCTAGAATACTGAGTAGCCTGGGACCGTTTGGACGGCCGGGGCACAAATGAATAAAAGAATAAGGCAAAAGTTGTTCACTTTATTTTTCTAAACAACATAGTAACTGTTCTTTTTTGGGATGATTTGCAAATACCCAGATAAGTTGTGATATATGCCAAAATGCCCCTGAAAGATGTGGGTAGAGAGGAATGCCATTTTGGGCCGAACTGTTTGTGTTATGCCCCTTTGCAATCTGGACCTTGCGGTTTGGGCCTGGGCAGTTGCAATTGGG